GTAGCGCTGCATCTCAAAAACCCTTAAAAAAGCTTGGCGGGTAAAAACCTCAGCTGTTCAAAGCATACCGGGAAGATAATGTTCTATAACTTCTCTGTCTAAGCATGGGCGATGCGGATCACTGTCAACCAGACCAGCGAGTGGTAATGTAGCAATGGTCATGCCTTTGAAAACAAACAGAAGATTTCAAAGCTTTCAACTTCAGCCATGCCTTCATTGGTGTAAAGTAATGCAAAGCAAAAACTTGCCACAAGTGGGTGGTTCATCGGATCCATCAGCACAGTCGTTAGACCCATCGCAGACCCAAGACTTTTGTATACACTGTGACTGATCAGCACACCGGAACTGGTATTGGAAGCAAGCTGTGTGATTGTGCGGACATGAATCCTAGAAAAATTGAAAAATAATAATTATTTTGCAAACTACTTAAAGCATTTTTTGTTCTTCTGTTAAAACTTTTCGGGAAGATACTTACGGAACAGGTTTCAAGTGACGCGTTCTGAAAGTCTGACTTTTTCCGCTATTGACATACCAGCAGCCTTATGTTGATTCTTCCGAAAATTGCAGGCAGTTTATTCAAATTTACTTTATTCAAGTTTATTCAAATTTCTTACTTCGAACCAGTTTATTCAAATTTACTTCACCACTCAGTGATAGCGCTGTAGCATATTTATCAACGCTATCATTTTTTACGCGTTTTTGCATATTTATGCAAAAGTGCGAGTGGTAAGAGGTTGCTGTGTGTATGCGCGTATTTGCATTTGTTTGTTAACTTTACGGGAGTATTTGTTTTCCGCAATCGAGCACATAAGCATAAAATAAGTTTTGACTCACGCCTGTGAGTCAAAACTTATTTTAGCTTATGTGCTCGAGACTCACGTCTTTCGGACACGACTCACGCCTTTCGGACACGTCAAAGGTATTTGTAATAAAAAAGTATTTCGACAGTAAGTCATGCTAGGAAGCTGAAACTATGACGATATTTCAAGCCCGTTTGTGATTCAGTTATTTCGATTTGGCTTTAAAGCTCGCCTAAATCATACGTATGCACAAGTAAACGTTTAGTTCGGGACGCTGTCAGCACCCAATTAACTTGGTAACCACGCTAAGCAGAAAGCAGTATCTTTCTGAGGATGTGTGCTCGTATTGTGTGGGGCACCAACGTAATATAGGCTTCAACATACGTATGGGTCTAGCGTACAAACCCATCAAGTGCTCAGATTGCAACAGCAGCACCGCAGTTACAACTTTGTAATAGACGTGACCTCTTCAGAACGGAATCATGCAAAAAAGCACGACCACAACGGCAAGCATGTTGCGTCATCGCTGCTTTGATTTCGCTAAAACAGCTTCATTTTCGATTTATTGAGCATTTAGATACAGCTTCTCTTTCCTCCGATTCTCATCACAGTAAACT